CCCGAGCTCTCGGACCTCAAGTGGATTATGGATCTGGCCTTTTTGGTCGACATGCTGTGTCACTTGGACAGACTGAACCTGACCCTGCAGGGTAAGTTAAAAATGCTGCCTGACCTGGTGCAAAGTGTGTTTGCGTTTGTCAACAAACTGAAGCTGTTCAAGGCGCATATTCAAAAGGGAGATTTAACGCATTTTCCCACTCTGCTAAAAGCCAGCGGGCAAGTCACCAGCGCCGCCCTGAATAAGCAAAGAGCCAGATATGCAACACTGGTTGAAAACCTGCACGAAAGCTTTGTGACCCGGTTCCGTGATCTACAACTGAAAAGGCCACAGATTACGTTCCTCGTCGACCCATTTAATGCGGAGACGGACTGTTTGAAAGCCCCGCTGGTCACAGATGAGGCTGCGGCTGAGTCGGAGATGACCGATCTTTGTGAGGAGGACCAACTGAAACCTGCTTTAAGGGAAGGGACCATTGAGTTCTGGAAAAGTGTGCCAATGGAAAAATATCCCAATGTCAAATGGGCTTCGCTTAAGATACTGTCAATGTTTGGGTCAACATACGTCTGCGAGTCTGTGTTTTCTACCCTGAAACACGTGAAATCAAAGCATCGATCTGTTCTGACTGACACCCATGTGAAAGAATTGCTTTGAGTGGCAACAACGGAATACAAGACAGATTTGAAGAGGATTGTTCAAGGCAAGGAATGCCAGAAGTCCCACCAAGCAACATGCATAGTAAAAGAAAAACACTATTGTAAATTATTTTATTTTTGTTTGTGGACTAGGTTGAACTGAGAGTTTGTGTGTGTGAGACAGTGCACACAATGTTCATTGTTGAAAATGACTGGCCTGTGGTCTTAGTACTGTAGGAGTCAATTTCTGTCATTATCATGTTGGTGTGTGACATTTACAATAAATCTGGCTGAGCAGTGTGTGTGAGAGGAAGGGGTGGGTGATGTTCATGTGTGCCCATGTGTATGATGTGGCTCTTTGCAGTAACACAGTAAAAAATGTGGCTCTTGGTCTCTGACTGGTTGGCCACCCATGAGCTAGAGGCTCTGTCCGGATGACCGTCTGACTTTCAGGAGACCGAGGACTGCAGAGAGGCAGTCCGGGAAGAGCACCCCGCTGGCACCTGTCCTGTGAGGGGGAGACGGATGTCGCCGAGGGAGAGAGAGCCCCTTTCTGTGGGTGTGAAATGGATGTCGGTGAGGAGAAAGAGCCCCTTTCCATGGGCTTCCCCTACAGGCACTGAGCTTGTGAGGATGAGATGGATGTCGACGAGGGAGAAAGAGCACCTTTCTGTTGGTGTTCCCCCGCAGGAGGTTCCAGCCTGTGAGGGAGGAATGGATGTCAACGTGGGACGATGGAGCTGTGGTGGAGCCCCACAGTTCATCAGGAAAACTGAATTCTTGCTTAAAAGATGATTGAAGAAAAAATGAAGAATTTTAACAGAATGCCACAAGCCACCCGGCCTGGTGAGGAAAGATGGCTTGAAAAGAAAACCATTTTTGACATTTCCATGTCTTTATGGTTTCCTGAGTTACTGAGGATTTAACAAAGAACATGGTTTATCTGAAAATATCCTATAATTCTCTGTCAAAATTGAACCAGAAGAGAATGAGATTTTCTTGATGAGTTTTAATTTTTCTATTAAAGTTTTTCCTTGTGAAAAGCTTGAATCATGGCAAAAAGGAAAAAGAGGAACAAATGATTGCCCAACCTGCCACCACCCTACCAGCTGAGAGCCAGATTGTGTGAGAAAAATCTTTGTTGTTCAGATTGAGAGCTCAGCACCAACTATAATATTTTTAATACATATGATAATTTTAGATTTATATCTAGAAATAGTAGTTGTTGATTTATTTAGATTGTAAGCAAATCAAGACAATTATTGATGATTTTAAGGTTTATATTTTATTGCTTGTTGCTTTGCTGTAGCTCTGTTAAGCTTCTATATAAAATTCCTGAAAAGGATATAGTTGTATGAAAGGGCTGATATAAAAACATAGTAAATCACAGAACCAGATGTCCACTTCTAGCATTCAGTGCTATACTTGAAAAACAGCTGTCTGCTACAAATGAAGATAAGCAGTGACAGTGAACCTAAACAGAGCAGAAAACCAAAACAATGAGTTAAACTAGAATGACTGCTTTGCAATGGTATGCCTCCGCTAGCCAGTCAACCTCACAGGAATAGCACAGATGTGAGGTCATTGACCTTGACCTTTGACCACCAAAATCTAATCAGTTTATATGTGAGATGTGGACATTTGTGCCAAATTTGAAAAAAAAAAAAAACTCACTTAAGGTGTTCCTGACATATTACATTCACAAGAATGAGCCAAACACGAGGTAACAGTGACCTTGACCTTTGGCCACTAAACTCTAATCAGTTTCATCCCTGTGTCCAAGTGAATACTTGTGCCAAATTTGAAGATATTCCCTCAAGGCGGTCCTGAGATATCATGTTCACAAGAATGGGTCAAATGGAACCCAAAAACATAATGCCTCTGGCTGCAGCCATTGTCAGCACGGAGCCCGATCTCACAGCATAGTGTACAATAGCTACATTGATCCACTGTAATAACAACTGTAAAATTGCAACATGGCAACATGGCAACATTTGTTGTATTGTAGCCCATCTGCCGTCTTCATGGTCTTCTTCTTGATGTTTTACGGCAGTTGTCAAACAAGGAAATGGCACATTACTGCCACCAACCATGGAGACAGAAATTAACATGCAGTGTCTGGCGAAGGCATATGGTTTGGAACTTTATCATTTTAAAAACACTAGAAGTTGGTGGCATGGTACCAACTGGCATGGTACCAAAGATACCAGTTTGTGCCAGATGGGTGTGGCTTCTGTTCCATTTAAATCCAGCACATGAAATGGTGCATGTTGCTTGTGCCTACCTGAAGCTACCGGATAAACTGTGACACATCAACAAAATATCATGTGGAATCTAACTGAACGGTGAAGAGCAGCATCTTTTCGGTCAGAAAATGTGAGCACCATATCCTAGCCCACAACATTTGATTATGAATCAGAACCTCTGCAGATAGGAAATCTGAATCTTGCTGAACTTGACAGTTCATTCTTTGACCTAGATTGTGTAAAATCATGGTTGAATAACATGAAAAACTGATAAAATCACACCTGATATTAATATGGTGCCCTGGTATTTGGGGTAGTATCTCCATCAGTGATGTAGACTGTTCTCTTTGTGTTCAAAAGGAGAGACATCATGTTCCCTTAATATGAAAGTACAGCCTATTTTAACATTATCAGATGATGAAGATCAATCTCCTATCGGTACCTTCTGCTGCCTGCTCCATTCAGGAGAGTTTCCACACCCTTGCTGCTATGTAACAAGCAACATTCTAACATAGCCAAATGGAACACAGCCAAACAAACAGAGACTGACACACCCCAACGCCCAATTTCTTTTGGAATATGACTAAAACTAAGAAATATATTTTACCTTTAAAAAACATGATTTCAGCTCTCTAGATGCACATTTATCAAAGCTGCATTCAAATGCTTATGCCTCATAAAACATAACAAAATTACATCATATATAGCTACTAAATATTGAAAAGTGTGGTAAGATGTGGCCAGCAGATGATCCGACTTTAAATTAAGTCTTTGCTTTCCTTTCTGCTCACTGTAGTTAGACATGAGTACAAAAACATAAAAATCAGCAGGAGAAATTTTGCTGGGCAGCACCTCCCAAACATGTATTGATAGGTCAACACAAGATTGCCTGCAGAACCCTCCCTTAGAACAACCCATCACTGTCTGTCCTTCCTGAATTCAGATTTATAGGTTCAAAACTACCCACAGCTTTACTAATATAACCCATATTAACATTTCCCCCCATGGTGTCATCCTCCCAGAACGAGGGTTTGATTGGGTTTAATCATTTGCTGTAAGAGGAGTGCTCACAGGCTTCCATGTTCAAATGTGTTAGCAGATGACAGACAGTGGGTGTAAATGGAAATAGCAATGTGGAGACTAAAGTTAATGGGAGCCACATTGATCTGACATGACAAAAACAACGTAGCAGGACAAAGATACACATAATCAGTAGGTCAGATCCAAACTGAAACCTTCAGTGTACAGTGGGAGATGTGTCTTTTCCACACTGATGGAATTTTGAAGTGTTGACAACAAAACTCCATATCCCTCTCTGTTTCTTTCAGCCAAGCTGAGATCTCTGATCCCAAAAATATTTTAGATAATCATGCAGTAAACTGCTTCAAAATACATGACCTCATGTTATAGCAGGTGTTTTGATGACAAAGGTAGAGTTTCCCTGATCATGTTTCTACCTGCAGTCATTGTTTTCACATTCCAGCAACAGAGTTCTCGTTAAACTTTCCCACCCTTCCTTAAACTTACAGTGGTGTGAAAACGTGTTTGCCCCCTTACTGATTTCTTATCTTTTTGCATGTTTGTCATACTGTAATGTTTCAGATCATCAAACAAATTTAAATATTAGTCAACGATAACACAAGTAAACACATCATGCAGTTTTTAAATGAAGGTTTTTATTATTAAGGGAAAACAAAATCCAAAACTACAAAGCCCTGTGTGAATAAGTGTTTGCCCCCTAAACCTAATAACTGGTTGGGCCACCCTTAGCAGCAACAACTGCAATCAAGCGTTTTCGATAACTTGCCATGAGTCTTTTACAGCGCTGTGGAGGAATTTTGGCCCACTCATCTTTGCAGAATTGTTGTAAGTCAGCCACATTGGAGGGTTTTCGGGCATGAACTGCCTTTTTAAGGTCATGCCACAGCATCTCAATTGGATTCAGGTCAGGACTTTGACTAGGCCACTCCAAAGTCTTCATTTTGTTTTTCTTCAGCCATTCAGAAGTGGACTTGCTGGTGTGCTTTGGATCATTGTCCTGCTGCAGAACCCAAGTTCGCTTCAGCTTGAGGTCACAAACGGATGGCCGGACATTCTCCTTCAGGATATTTTGGTACACAGCAGAATTCATGGTTCCATTTATCACAGCAAGTCTTCCAGGGCCTGAAGCAGCAAAACAGCCCCAGACCATCCCACTACCACCACCATATTTTACTGTTGGTATGATGTTCTTTTTCTGAAATGCGGTGTTACTTTTACGCCACACATAATGGGACACACACCTTCCAAAAAGTTCAACTTTTGTCTCGTCTGTCCACAGAGTATTATCCCAAAAGTCTTGGGGATCATCAAGATGTTTTCTGGCAAAACTGAGACGAGCCTTTATGTTCTTTTTGCTCAGCAGTGGTTTTCGTCTTGGAACTCTGCCATGCAAACCATTTTTGCCCAGTCTCTTTCTTATGGTGGAGTCATGAACACTCAGCTTAACTGAGGCAAGTGAGGCCTGCAGTTCTTTGGATGTTGTTGTGGGGTCTTTTGTGACCTCTTGGATGAGTTGTCGCTGCGCTCTTGGGGTAATTTTGGTCGGCTGGCCACTCCTGGGAAGGTTCTCCACTGTTCCATGTTTTCGCCATTTGTGGATAATGGCTCTCACTGTGGTTCGCTGCAGTCCCCAAGCTTTAGAAATGGCTTTATAACCTTTTCCGGACTGATAGAGCTCCATTATTCTCTTTCTCATTTGTTTTTGAATTTCTTTGGATCTCGGCATGATGTCTAGCTTTTGAGGATCTTTTGGTCTACTTCACTTTGTCAGGCAGGTCCTATTTAAGTGATTTCTTGATTGCGAACAGGTGTGGCAAGAGAAATTGAACTCAGGTGCGATAAACCAGTGTTTTGACAGGGGGGCAAACACTTGTTCACACAGGGCTCTATAGTTTTGGATTTTGTTTTCCCTTAATAATAAAAACCTTCATTTAAAAACTGCATGATGTGTTTACTTGTGTTATCTTTGACTAATATATAAATTTGTTTGACGATCTGAAACATTACAGTGTGACAAACATGCAAAAAGATAAGAAATCAGTAAGGGGGCAAACACTTTTTCACACCACTGTATACTTGCCAGCTGATGGTTCATGAGATGCACCTTCGTTAGGGAAAGTCAAGATTCACCTGGGAGCAATTTACCAATTCAGGACAGATTTAGAAACACAGTCCAATTGAATAGAAATATGCTTGGCATATTATGACAACTTGTTCAACCATTTTGCATTTAACGACTTATACGATGAACTAATGACTAGATGTTTTGAGGGGTAAGACTATTGCACAGTGAACTATATAATAATTTTGATCAACATGACATAAACAACTGATAA